AGCTTCTAGACAGCTGCCTTATATTTTTTTTTAAACTTAGGGCTTATACACATCAGAGATATGTCTTCCATTGTAAAATACATAAAATCTCCTACTGTACTCAACTGAAAGCTGTTTGTCCTGACATCAAATACCTATGGGACCTTAGTGTTTGGAGTAAAAATTTGTAAGAAGTTTCTCCTTTCTTGGACTCAGGCAGGCAGTACTCTCCAGGTATTTGCTAATGGCAGTGCTTCTCCTTCTGATTTGTCTCTTACTTGGCAAGGGCTTCGGAACCAATGACTGAGCTTGAAGTGGTATATAAAAACAACAGACAGACTGATAATGCAAAGAGAATTTGAATAACTGTAGTCTTAGTGAATATTCTAAAACAAATGAGCATAAAGCCATTTCATGTATCATAGTTTAGGTGAGAATACTGAAAAGCTACATTTCAAATAGATGTGTATATTGAAGCTGATTCATAAATATCTACTGACCAAGCTCCATATATGTTGGAATTTCTTCCTCTGCATTGCTAATAATAATTTCACTGTTTGAGTCTTCAAAACAGCTGAGTTAGCGACACTTGATTTATCCCTGCTTCTTGGTTTTATTTGTTTGAACGGTACTGGGGACTGAACTCAGGACCTCTAAATTGAGCTGCATTTCTAACCTTTTTGGGAGTGGGAGGGGAAGACAGAGTCTTGCTAAATTGCCCAGGCTGGACTGGAAGTTGTGATCTTCCTGCCTCAGCATCCAAGCATTATTCCTGCTCTTTAAGAAAAAAGACAAGGGGCCGGGACGTAGCTCAGTGGTGCCATGCTTGCCTGACAAGCACAAGGTCCTGAGCTTGATTCATGGTTTCACAAAAAAAATTTTTAAAAAAAGTCAAAACCTCACTACTCCCAAAGAGCACTGGTGAGTTCAGGTCTAGCTGGCAACTTTCACATCTCTTACAAATTCAAATAGCCTCTAAGGATAAGACATTGAGGACACAGACGTAATAAAAGGAAAGTTGCTTTTCCTGCCCAGAAATATACTCCGCTGGCCCCACAAACATTTATTTCATTAGATAAAAATTTATTGAGCACCCATTATGTGCAAAGCATTCACTAGGTGCTACAATAACAGAAAGTATGACAAAACTGTTTATATATGTAGACTCAGAGCTAATCCCTGATACTTTTCCTGATATGAGAAAGAATGCCCCATTTGGCTCATTTACAGAGCTAAG